CTCACGGCCCCCGGGCTCCCCCAGCAGATGTTCGATGCCAAGACCGGGGGGGCGCCCTGCGCCCCCCGCCACGGGCGCTACCTGACGGTGGCAGCCATCTTCCGGGGCCGCATGTCCATGAAGGAGGTGGACGAGCAGATGCTGAACGTGCAGAACAAGAACAGCAGCTACTTCGTGGAGTGGATCCCCAACAACGTCAAGGTGGCCGTCTGCGACATCCCGCCCCGGGGCCTCAAGATGGCCGTCACCTTCATCGGCAACAGCACGGCCATCCAGGAGCTCTTCAAGCGCATCTCGGAGCAGTTCACCGCCATGTTCCGCCGCAAGGCCTTCCTCCACTGGTACACGGGCGAGGGCATGGACGAGATGGAGTTCACCGAGGCGGAGAGCAACATGAACGACCTGGTGTCCGAGTACCAGCAGTATCAGGACGCCACGGCCGAGGAGGAGGAGGACTTCGGGGAAGAGGCTGAAGAGGAGGCGTAAGAGGCTTCGCCCGCCGCGCTCGCACAAATTTTAAATTTTTTTTTAAAAAAAAACCAACCACCCCAACATCGCATCATGTTCCAAACTTTTCTTTTTCTTCCCTCTCGGCTGTCGTCTCCATCCGGGTTCCTCCAGGGCTGGTTCCGTGATCTCCCGTGTCAACACCGTGGTTTGGGCCGTGGGGGGAAGAGATGCTACTTCTGTCTCTGTCCCTCTTCTCTCTCCCCCCCCTCACATCTCCATCTTCTGTTCTTCCCCGCCACTAAGTTATTTGAGGTTCTGTCTCCAATAAACGTCATACTTCCCCCTTCTCCGTTTCCAACGGCATCTCTGCTCTCCAAGAGGTGGGTCTACAGGGGGGTGGCTTTTCTCCCAGCGGTGTTCTCCGCCCCGGGGCGAGGAGCTGGCAGTGGGGTAGCAGGGTGGGCTGTCAGAACAGAACGCGAGGAGGTGTAAGACCCGGCAGGAGAGGTGATCGGTTGTCTCTTCCTTGGCCGGTTGGGCCAACAGGCTGGAGCGCTGTTCTGCAAGAACGTGGCTGACCCACGTCCGGGTGTGGTCTTGCTGGAAGGCGTTTCTCCCCACAACTGGCTCCGAGGAGCAGCTAGGCAGCCGTAGCGGTGGGAGCTGGAACTGGATGGGGTGAAGGGGCATCCCCCAGCACTGAGCAAGGTGCATGAGGGGAGGTGGGTAGTAAGTCGGGGGGTGGATTTGTAGCCCCAGGAGAAGGTAGGAAGCCGTAGGGCTGGGTGGCGGCTCTGAACCTGTAGAGAAATGGGTCACAGCAGGGGTTGATGGGGGGGGGGCTGGCTCATCTTGGAGACACAGGGCCACTTGAATAAGCAAAAGAATTCGGCTCTTTTGTAAGTAGGTGTCTACGTTGCTTGCCAACGCCCTAGCCGTGGGGGGGGAGGTTAGAATCCAGCCATCCTGCCCCACTGGTGGGAGGGGGCAGCCAGGACCCCTTGCTTAGAGGGGCCTGCTCCCCCCCATCTGTGTGACATTCCCTGCCTTGGGGGATGTCCCCCCCATCAGCCCCGCTGGAGTTAAGCCAGGGGGTGGCCTGGTCACCCCCACATTGTGTCCTGAATCCCCCCCCTGGGGGATTCTCCCCCTGCCTAGCCAGGTGGGGGCTCCCCTCCCCTTTGAGTCCCCCCCGTGCTGAGCGTTTGGCTGGCAGGATTTGGAAAATGGGGGGCAGGGAGTGTCTCTTCCTCCTGGCCCCC